GCGTGTTGATTTCGCACTTTACAGCTTGTAAAACCAGCAAAGGCAGTAGCCACATACTGGCCACGCTATGAAATTATTTATTTAATAATCGGACGGCGAGTCATGGAAAATGGTCAGCAATTGTCGTTAGTTGCCGATGGTGGGTACTATGTTGCGGCACGAAAAGCACGAAAGCGGCAGCAGCAGCAGCATCACAGAATTTATTACGTTTCAATTATGTATATGGGCAAATGTTGGCACAGCCACAGCCAATTGGCAACGCATAAATCTCGACGGAGTCGCAGTCACTCTCTCCCTCGCTGAAGGCTGAAACTTGGCCCGGCTATCAAATTAGCACGCCAGCAACTTGGCCATTAGCAATTGCAACTGCTCGGCCGCAGCAGCTCTGATCTGGCTAATCAGCTTCCTACTCCTAAAGCGGTTACACTTAGAATGTGCCTCTTCCTTTTCCCACTTCTGGTTTTCGTCGGCACGCCAGCATTCGGGCTGCAATATGCGCTGCTAACTGCAACATTGTGGGATATGGTAGCACTGATTTATTCCAAGGGGTCTAATCAGTTCTTATCAGCTTCTTGCTGGGACTCGCCACTTTTCTGGTATTTTATCTTTGATTTGACAATTTGTTTCTGGACTGGTGTGAATATATGTGCCTATTAGGTATTTCCTAATTTCCTAATATATTTATAATCGGGTCGGGGGCAAAATCTGGATTTTTTTGTGGGGGAGAGGGTTTTTAAAACATACTTTTTGAATACAGAATTTCCTTTCGATTTTCTTTCAAGTGTCCTTAATCCCCATTATCCAAAGATAGCGAATAATTATTATAAAAATCGCAATCAATTGCAAGTCTGGAAATTAAACTTTTCGACCAATTTTTAAACAAATGTAGTAATACAGCCAAAAACTAAAAAACTTTCCAAAATATTTATGTATTTATTTAAATCTCCTCAGGATGAACTTTCAATCTTTAAAAAAGTATTTTACTTACATGCTCGTATCGCAGATATTTGTTTAACAAATTAAACCTCTACTGAACTAAGTCGTCATCTTATTGCCCCTTTGGCATATTGACTCATCAGCAGCACTTGCAACTCCTGCCGCTACGTAACTTGTTAGCAACTCTTTTAACGATCTATTTGTAGTTGAGCAGAACTCACTTTCCAATCGGTTTTCCTGGGAGTCCAAATTAAGTTAAACAAATGGAGGGTTGCTTTCGGGATTGCGTATTTCATATTCTGCCACCAGCAGCAGCGGCAGCGGCAACTTAAGCTGCCCCACCGGCAACATGCGATGTGTGTGGTCTGCTGTTGCTCCTGCGGCTTTCGCTGTTGTTGCTGCTGCTGCTGTTGCCCCTTGCAGTTGCAACTTTTGTCGTTGTCCGTGCATAAATCGTGTGAAATATCGCATTTCGCGCATTTTCGCTTCGTGTTAACGAGTGTCACATACGCACACATGAAAAACAATCGCCTGCAACAAGCATTTATTTGTCTTTTTGCCTGGCGAATGTTGCTCTTGCAGTTGTTGCTGCTGTTGTTGCTACTTGGGTTTGCTCTAGGCATTTGCATATTGACAGCGCAGTGTGATAATGCTGTTGACATTGATATAGCTTCAAAAGTCTGGCTGTGGGACTGTGGGACAGTCTCTGTGTTGCTGCTGCTGCTGCTGCCCCGACTATTGTTGCTAGTTGGTGGTTGCTGGTTGCAACCGCTGCAACGCCCACCAAACAATTGACAGTCAACAACATGCCGGCGAGGCAGGCGAAAAAAATTACAGAAATAATGCTAAAAAGAGCGCAGAATCTGATAAAGTTGCGGCTGTTGCGCATGCGCATGTTGCACGCCTACAAAATCATGTTGCACGTCAGTTGAGCGGGCTTTTTGCCCTCAAAATATTTCTGCCCCAGTGTGTGAGTGTGTTTGAGCTCGGCTCATTTAAATTTTGCAATGATTTTTGCCAAGTACTTTACTTATGGATGCACTCAGAAAAAAATCAAGCCCATTGGATTTAAAAGTTAAATAAATACGTTCTTGTTTTAATAAAGGTTTGTTATTAAAATCTATAAGACCATTTTATTAATATTTCCACAAAAATATATGCTTAGTTGAATATAATTTTGTACACCATCTTTAGTTTAATCGTTTTAATTCTTGACAAAAGAATGTTCATATTGATTTATAAGAAAGAAAAGTATTTTGATGATTTAATTTACGAAAGTATTTAAACTGTAATGAGATATTCTTATTTCGAAGCCATGATCCTAAGTTTAAGCACAAAACATGCTTGATTTTTATTATATTTTTTATACTTTCAGGCATATTGTTATAAAATCTACCTAATTTTCGGATATTTTACGTGATTTAAGAGAATGTGCAAAATATTTATTCTTTAAACAAGAAGAAGAATAATATTTGAAATCTAGTTTTTGTGCTTTAATTTGGGAAGCATTTTTTTCCAAGTGTAGGGCCTTGCTCTGTTCTCTTCAAGGCCGCCTTTTCGATCCGCTTGTGTGGCATCCGGCGGTTCTGCAGTCTAAAGTCTCTAAGCTATATGCTATATCCTATGTGCTGACAGACGGCAGCCGAGAAGGCGGACTCTGGCGGAGATCGGATTTCGAATACGAGTACGAGTACGAGTACTACTCGTACTACTGCTGGGCGGCAATTGATTCTTAAAAAACGCTGACAACTTACATGTTGCAGCAACATGCTGCCGCCGCGTTGACAAATTGGCGGCATGTAGATGCAACATCGAGCGGAAATTGGAAATTACTGAAAGAATTCTCGAAAAGCAGAGCAAACGCCCACCAAAAATGGCCTTGCGGGTAATCCCCGCGAAAAAGAAAAGGGAAAAGGAAAAGCAAAATGAAGATGAAGTAAGAGCCGAACACCCAACTAATAATCGCATAATACACGTACCAGGCTAATGATTAACCTGCATCATTATCGCTCCAAGATCTCAGATGCTTCTCTGCAGTTTTTGTGTTTTTTGTTGTTTTTTTTCGGTTTTTGCCCATCGAAAATTAGCTGCCGTATCTGCAGAAGCTCTTCCGAGTGGAGTTTGGGCTCTGGATGGGATGGGGATGGGGATGTGGATGGGCTGGGTCCAGGGGCAGGACAACAAAGCATCCTGCACTTTTACTCGCCCCATTCAAGCCAAACCAGGAGGCAGGAGGATGATGGCCCCGAGGCAGAGACCTGCAATCTGGCTTTATTTTATGCGCGGAGCGCGCTTAAAAATGCAGTCAACGTCTCTTTGGATGGGGCAGACAGGAACCTGCCGCTTAGGCGAATGCCTCACGGGCCCCAAAAAGGCAAACGGCCCGACAACAGCAGCACAGCAGCAACATCTACAACGGCAGCAACAAATGGCATTAAAAAAAACCATCACTGCGGGGCGAGGGAAAATTCACTGCATCCTCCCACTTTTTGCTGGTACGCGAATGTTGCCTCTAGATGGGCCTATTATGTTGCTGCTGCTGCTGCTCTCGATGTTGCTGCTTGTCGGCCGCTGCTGCTGCTGCTGCTCGCCAATCATTAAATGCGTTTTTCATACTGTTGATTTGGGTTCTACTTCTTTTTTTTTGTGCGGGAGTTGCCGCTGCGATTTTTGATTTATGAACCAGCAAATGAGTTCGCGAAAGGAGAACAGAGCAGAGCACAAAACACGAATGGACCGCGAATGTATATCAAATAAGTATACACCCACACTTCCGGCTGTAAATTGAATTGGGGGCGTGGCCGGCGGAATGTTGCACACCCCATGTTGCCGGCGGGCAGTCGGATAATTATGCGCGTGTTGCTGCCGTCCGGCCGATAGTTTTGTTTGGCCAAGATCAAAGTGCCAGTGCAGGAGAAAAAAAAGAACGACAGCGACAACGACGACAAATCGCTGAAAGTTACAGTTTAAGTTGCAGCAGCAGCAGCGGCAACAGTTGCTGCCAATCACCGCAAGAGCAACTGCAACTGCAGCAGTGGATAATCAGAATTCCAGCATTTTCACCTGTTGCTAAAGCCTGTGCAGCCTGGCATGTGCCGCACATGCCGCGCTGCCATTTGTCTGCACTTTAATGATGCGCCACATCTAACTGCAACTGCAACATCAACGGCAGAAGCAGCAACATCAACTATTCACTTGCACGCAAAAAAATGTTTGTTTGTTATTTGGCTGGGCTTATAAATGGCATTCGAATTATGCGAAATTTTGAGAATTGGTGAAACAGCAAAGCAATTTTTATTTTCTATACTAATTACAGTTTTTATTTGACAACTGTTAAGATATTTATTAAAAATATAGCTTAAAATTAAATATTCAAAAATTGTATTTAATTAATTTATAATTTATTCAAAAATTGAAAATTAAAAACTTAAATCTATGTAGGTATATTTTTATCTCTTTGGCAAATGAACCCGGAATTTCCTACATCAATGTAGAATCTATCATATTATCAAGTCTGCATTTTATTCATAATTTATTCACCGAGCTTTGTAAACTGTTGCATTTTTGCCCAATGTCTCTGATTTTGTATGGCATTCAAAAACCTATCCATTATTCATTGCAGTAATTATTATAATTTGCACTGCAGTCAAAGTAAACCGGATTCTCGAGACCACTTTTAATGACGAATGTTGCAAATTGAACCCGGAAACTGTGCTACTTCTTCACGGCTATCTACGTAAACAAATTTTCAGCCGCGCAACAATGTAGTGCACAAGTGCGGAAGTTTATCAGGGATTATCATAATGTCACACTTGCATTGAGGATTTCCCCCATTGCATTCTAAAACTGGTGAATGAACAGTTGAGAGCTTCCCAAAACAGTCAGAATGTTCTAATTTCGTTTTTGCATTCAAAAACCTTTCCATACATTATTCATTTGCATAATTAGCACTGCACACAAAGTATACCAGATGGCACATATTTTGAATTGCGATTCGATTCTTTAGTGTTATGTATCTAACTTATAAAACCAGGGATCAATGCCGAAATCTGAGTTACAGAAACATGCCACCCAATAGCAGAGACACCGTAACCGGAGTGCTTTTCGAATCGGATGTGGAGACGGTGGACGGCGGGTTGTCCAAGGATGTGGCCAGTCTAAGGACCACCGATGGCAGCCGACTGCAGTTGGTGTGCTGTTCGTCATCATTCACACGGCCTCCTTATATGGAGTGTGGTTGCCCCTGGCGGAGGCCAGCTGGACAACCTTCCTGCTCTTCCCTCCCGCCCTTCTGATGACCCTTCTGGGTATCTCCACTGGCGCCCATCGCTTGTGGGCCCATCGCACCTTCAAGGCGAACACGCTGCTGAAGCTGATCTTGCTGTTCCTGAACAGCCTGTCCCTCCAGGACGCCGTCTACTAATGGGCCAGGGATCATCGGGTGCACCACAAGTACACGGAAACGGACGCGGATCCGTATAATTCGCAGCGTGGTTGGTTCTTCTCCGCGTCAGCTTGAATCTCATCTGGCTGCTCAACAGCTCGGCCCACAAGTTCGGCATGAAGCCCTACGACAAGAACATATGTGCCGTGGACCAGGACTTCCTCATCTCTTGCCGTGTGGGCGAGGGATACCACAACTACCATCACGGCTTTCCCTGGGACTACAAGAGCGCTGAGCTGGGGAAATACTCGCAGGATGTCACCACCAAGTTGATTGATTTTTTTGCCTATTTGGGTTGGGCCTACGACCTCAAGAGTGTCCCCCTGGATTTGGTTCGTCGGAGGGCGGAACGAACAGGTGATGGCTCACATCCCGTTTGGGGATGGGGTGATAGGGATCAACGAATGGAGGACATTGCCGATACCACCATCACCCACCAGCAAAGGGGAAGATAATTGGTGGCGGACTACCTCAACACATTACCTAGACACCTAGAACACCGTGCTCAATAAAATCAAGCTATTGCGCTTCATTTGTGTTTTAAATGAGCAATTCGTTAAATTACCGCTGCTTTAAATTATAGAATAAGAAATTTAAGTTCGAGTAACTCGACTTGGCCATGATCTACCTACTGTTAAATAGTTGTTATTACCAGAAAAAAAAATATTAATAACTTTAACAATTTTTAAAATATTTAATACTTCTCTAACCATTTTTATGTTTAGTTTTTAGCAGAGAAGAGTGAAGAACCGCCTATTAAAAGTTGTAAGACGACCCTTGTAAGATGTACATGGAAAATAGCGAAAGGAAAGTAAAATAAACAAATCTGCCTAGTTGACTTCTGGCCCCTGGATAACACTTACTTTTCTCTGGGTGGACGGGACATTTGCATTTTCGATTCGGCACTGCAAAGAGCGGAGGATTTGAGCTGACTCGCAGCGGGCATTCGGCCCCACACAATGATAATTCCAAGGAGGGAGACTTAACTAGAAACTGTAGATTGTCCGTCCCAAGGCCGGTGAATTTATGGCCAGGTGCCAATTGGGTTGGGGGGCTGTGCGGATGGGCTATGAAAAATGCCCGTTGTGGCCACACTAATTAGTTTGCCCAAGAGCCCGAGGGAATTGCATAATTTAGGTAGCAAATTCCTTGGCCAGGCCAACAACGCCCACACTTTAAAGGTGGGGAGCAAGTTCTTTCCTGGAAAGAGAAGCCGCTTAGGGCCATGCTAATACCTCCGCCCTTCCTGGAATCTGGAATCTCTAAAACGAGAGATCATCACCCGAGGGATCTGTGATCCACATTTGCATAATTGCAGACCAAAGTCGGCGCTGACTTCCCCTCTACAAAAATAATAATTCCCTTTCGAGAGATTCAATTTTTCTCAAAATGGAGCGGAAAAAGAGGAAGTTGGCCAGCCACCGACGCTTAGACCAGGAGCTGTCCTTCCACCAGAGACTCCTGGGCGGTGTGCAAAAGAGTTTCGGGTAAGCCGAGTGAAGAGTGAGTGATGGGGTTTTGTAATAAGGAATCTATTTTCCAGGTCCCCGCTGGCCCTTCAAGCTGATTCGCCTTTGGAAAAGGATAATGCCATGTCGTAGGGAGATATCTATTCCTCTTTATAACCAAATCTTCTAAACCTTCTTTAATCCCAGCGACTTGGAGACCTTTATTAACGTACTAAAGTGTGGCTTTGGCACTGGATGCTTGGCCATGCCAAGGGCTTTCATGTATTCTGGTTGGTTAGTGGGCCTCGTAAGCACTTTCGTCCTTAGCTCCTTTGTGCTCTATGCAATGCATATTCTGGTACCTCTTATATCATAAACTCAAAAAACATTTTCATGTGAGATTTATTTATTGAAGCTGCGACATATCAGTTCAATGGGAAGTCGGTATAATAATCCAACGATCAGCTATCGAAAAACCGTGGAACTGGCCATCAGCAATGGACCCCCGAAGATTCGGTTTCTGAGCAGACCCTTTGGGTTAGTAGAGATGAGCTATAATCTAAAGTCTTCATAAAATAATATTTTATTTCTTAGCTATTTAGTGGATGTTCTGCTCTGTGCATATCACTTTGGCGTGGACTGTGTCTACGTTGTGTTTATAGCCAAAAGTCTTAAGCATTTGGGGGATTTATATTTATGGACCTTGGATGAAAGGCTCTACATGGTCTTAATTGCTTTGCCGTTGATCCTTACGTTTTTAATAAGGGATCTGAAGAGTCTTGTGCCATTTGCCTTAACGTCCAACATCCTTCTATTTTTAGGTGCGTTTCTCCCAAATCTTCTAGTTATCTTTATTTCACTTTCAAACTTTAGGATTTTTTATAATCTTGAGCTACTTGTTTCGGGGTCTTCCTAAGTTTGAAAAACTCCATGCCATTCAGCCACTAACAAACTTTCCACTATTTTTTGGCACCGTACTTTTTGCCATCGAATCGGTTGGAGTGGTGGGTTTTTTTGTGTTAATTTTATTTTTTTTGTATTTAATATTTTAATATTTTTAGATCCTTGCCCTTGGCCGCAGTATGCGAACGCCAGAGGATTTTCTGGGACCCTGTGGAGTGCTTAATCGGGGAATGATCGTAGTAGTTACCTTTTATGCGCTCTTTGGATTTTTTGGTTACTGGCGATATGGCCAAGAAACTTCCAACTCGGTTTTACAGAATCTACCGGAAAACGAAATGTTAGTACTTTTAAAAAACCAAACAACTTGTTTATTTATATAATCTCTTTTATTTCAAAAAAAGTCTCCCCCAGTTGGCAACTGGAATCTTTGCCCTGGCTATTTTCTTTAGCTATGCCCTGCAGGGTTACGTAACTGTGGACATAATCTGGCGGAATTATCTAGAACCAGCGTTGGAGGACGGATCCTCCAGGGCGGTGGAGTTCCTCGTACGAATAGCCTTGGTCATTGCCTCGGTGCTGGTGGCCATTCAATATCCGGACTTTGGGCTGCTGCTCTCTTTTGTGGGTTCTTTTTGTTTGGCTCAACTTGGTCTGATCCTGCCGGGAGTCGTGGATCTCTGCGTTCGCTATGAGGAGGGCTACGGACCTGGAAGGATCCTGCTTTTCCGATCTGTGATCTTTATCTTTATGGGATTGGCAGGTGGAGTGGCCGGCACTGTGGTCTCCCTGACCACCCTTCATGCTCGATACCCAGTCATAAAGAGATCGTAGTTCCAGATTTTGCTAATTTTTATTGTCATATTTATTTTACCTGATTAAAGAAAAACACAAAAAAAAATTGATAAGTCAATCCAGCCGATTAAAGTTAAATTATACATTACCATTTTTCTTTGGGTGAAAATAAAGATTCGACTTTTTTACAGATTTTTCTATCGTTAAGAGTTTCTTTGTTTTTTATAAAAAGTTAAACAAATTGAAATCATTGAAAGTTGGTCCTCCTTAGTAAATACTGCCATGTTCATGTGTCACAAACTCCAAGCACATTTTTGTAATCATTTTAAAAGAACTCAAAAATATCAAACATGGCCGATAAAGGGTAAAGCGAACTGCAGTGTCTTAATAACTGATTACTAAAGTTCTGATCCACAGAGGCTATAATCCGTACGAAAATCGACATGTGGCCAAACCGATATCGTAAGTTTCCTAATTACTAACCATTATTTTAAAGAATTCTGAATTTTTTTCGAAGCGACTTCGGGGCCTTTATTTTGCTACTCAAGAGCGTGGTGGGAACCGGAGTTTTGTCCCTGCCCTTGGCTTTTTACTTCGCTGGTATCATCAATGGCGTTATCCTGCTCATTCTGGTCTGCATAATGCTAATTCATGGCATTCAGTTGCTGGTGAGGTTTTTAGGATAAAAATCCCTAGAGGAAGTTACCAATTTTATGCACCTTTTTTGCAGATTATTTGCATGGTGGAGTGCTCTCGACGGATGCAGATTGGCTATGCCACCTTTCCACAGGCGATGGAATACTCCTTTGGCCAGGGACCCAAGTGTTTTAGGTATTGTTCAAAGGCAGGCGGGTATTTCTGCGATGGCGTATTGGGATTTTCGCAATTCGGCGTTTGTGTCGTGTACACTGTCTTCGTTTCGGCCAACTTCAAGCAGCTCATTGACTTCTACTTCGGAGTGGCTGACATCAGGATCTATGTAGCCTGCATCGGACTCCTCCTGATCGGGCCCTTTCTGATCCGCAAACTGAAGTACCTGATACCCTTCAATATAGTGGCCACCATTCTCATTTACTCCGGCTTCTTCATGATGATGTACTATGTGTTCTTGGATATGCCCTCGATATCGGAACGCAATATCTTTTTTGGCCCCATTGAGCTGCTGCCTTTATTTTTTGGCATTGCCATTTTCTCCATCACTTCGGTGGGCGTGGTGAGTCCTTGAGTCCTTCCAAAGGCTTTGCAATTTCGCTTATTATCCTCAAACTCTTTCACAGATGCTGGCCATCGAGTCCGAGATGAGCAACCCACAACATTACATCGGTTGGTTTGGGGTTCTCGATTGGGCCATTTTGATAGTTATGATATCGTATATCTTTTTTGGAATCGTGGGCTACTGGCGCTATGGCGACAAAATAGAAGACAGTATCTCACTCAATATTCCCACAGACCAAGTGTAAGTATAAGAAAAACTGTAAATATTTTAGAAGAAATTAAATAACTTAAAAAAATCTTAAACGCCTTCAGAACAAAAGGAACTAACATTTACTAAACTAATCAAATTTCATAATATAAATCCATACACATAAAATCTAACTTATAGCCCTAAATTATTTTCTTTGATAAACGCGAATTCTTTAGAACAAGAGGAATCAACACTAACTATTCACTTATCTCCTCCAGACTTGCTCAGGTTTCCAAGGGTTTTATAGCCATGGCCATTTTCCTGTCGTATCCCCTGGCCGGCTATGTGGTAATCGACATTATCATGAATCATTATTGGAACAAGAGTGGCGAACTGAAGCACGCGTTCTTAAAGGAGGAACTCCTCCGGGTAGGGATGGTGTTGCTTACCACCATAACTGGCATCCTTGTCCCGAATCTGGGTCCCCTGCTATCGCTGGTCGGAGCTCTTACCATATCACTTTTGAACCTGGTGTTTCCCGCCCTGATCGAGATCTGCCTGTATTATCCGCCGGAGTACAACTATGGCAGACTTAAATGGAAGCTCGTAAAGGACATCATGTATGTAATCATTGGCCTCGTTATTTTGGTGCAAGGCACCGTCTTTGCCATACTGAGTATGATCAAGGAGTGGGGCGGTGGAAGACAAGGGGACACCACTGGCGCCACGGATGGAACCACAACGATGGACACAACAACGGTGGGCAATATCACCACCGTGCTCACCACAGCCATTGCAGAACCTACTCAGGAACCCGCTTTCAGATTTCTGTAAGCCGGAAATGTACCCCCCATTAAATACTGAGCAAGAAACCCCTTTGTATTCGGCCGTTATCTCACACTCCTTTTCTAAAAACTGCTGAAGTCGTTACAAAATTCTGTTGGCAATTAGTGTACTTAAATTATAAGTTAAAGTATTCATTTCGCATAACATTTCTAGGAATATTATATTTGTCATTCTTACAAATTTGAGTTTTAAATCAAGTGTAAGTAAAGACACTCTAAAGATTTGTACTACCGTTTGTTATAAATAAAATGTTTTTGTGTAACTTAAAACAAATTATAAAAACTATACATGCATTTTTTATTGCTTTTTTTATTATTTCTAATTTTTAATCAGGTATAAATTAAGATTTTGAAGTAACTTTGAATAAGACTTGGTTTAATGAACAATTAGGTTAAACTGTATATTTACTACATTAAACCATAAAACAGATTTTTGGCTGTAAAAGTGGATTGTAAAAACTCTACTTCGATTTTATATTGCAAGAAGGATTTAATGTTTTCAAATTTGGTTGGTTTTATTATTGCTTAAACTTAAACGCCTCTTGCTCAGCAGACACATTTACTTTGTTTAAACTGCAGATGACTGAATCATTAAGCTCACGAGTTGAGTTTAAATCACCTCAAGGCATCAGGCGCCATTCCCAAAGGTCAGGATCGCCGCCCACTGATTTAACCCCCACCTGAGGCCGGGCACAAGCCATTATCGATGGCGATGACGATGTGGCATTGGCATGGCGGGTAATTCCCTCATTAGCTGTGGGAGTTTGGTGGCGGTGGAGGCAGCCTGGCATGTGGGAAGTGTGCAGCGGCCAGCAACCGGCAACCTGCAACAAGAAACGAGCAACCTGCAACCTGCAACATGCAACACGAGGCAGACAGGCAGCAACCTGCAAGCCTGTTCCAGCATCACCAGCACACGTCTTCTTCGATGCCGGCCACTCGTCAGCCCACTTAACGATGTGCTCCGGAATTTATGCCGATATGGTAATGCATCTCCGACTGGGACTGCGACTGCGACTGCGAGTGGGACTGGGACTGGGACTCTGAATCTCGAGGCTGCCTCATTATGCCATTGATGGACTGCAGTTGAGCATTTGGATTGCGTAATTTATTGTTTTGGGTCGTTTTGGCCCCGATAAACTGGTGTTTCTTGGCTCGCCAGCGTCCCGTTGCCACTTCGATTTCAGCCAAAAACGGTCAACGGGTCCGCCGCCATGTCATTTGTGTGGCATTTTTTGCCAACGCCTGGCGGCAATCTCACTTTCCGCCGGGGGATTGCCTCGGCTTCCCCATTTAAGGCTCTAATTAGCTACGCAGTCGGCATGCAAAGCGATCGGAATCTAATGGTTTTTCCAGGGAAAAGCGATCGCGACACACGTGTCTTGCGGTTTCCAGTTCCTATTCATATGCATTACATATATTTCAGCCCATCGGAGGTATCCCTCCCAGCGAGGAGGTCGTAGGGTTAAGCAGCGGCCCCAAAGAGTTCTGCGTATACGCAACTGCGACTCTGTGATTGCAGCCAAAGTGCAACAAATCATTTCCCATAGCCGTTTTGCAGGAAGAAAAACAGAAAACAAAAAATATATAGACAGAGAAGAGAGATCTTCGAGGCAGCCAATTTGTGTTCCGTTGCTTTGCCGTTTGTATAAATCAATTGGCAATGAGGCGAGTACTGGGATGATGCTCCTCGGGACTCGCGACTACCCGCTGTGCGTTGTCTATCCTATAAATTGCACCCCCATCCACCATCCGCCATCCACCGTCCATCCAAGTCCAGGTTTTTCCTCCTCCTTCAGCGATCGCCTCTAATGCGTTATGTGTGTTTGGACTATGATTTTTTCACTTGTTCGCGGTGCGTGCACTGGGTCTGTGATTGGTCTATAAATTACCGGGTTTATTGCGCTGCAAGGTCCACGCCCCCACCCCCGCGTGACACTGATCGATTACCCGAAAAAACGAACCCTTATCTCTCGGCCTCGCAAATATTTGCCCATCGCAACGCCCGTTTCCTTTCGGCTATCGCGGGGCGAACGAGTGATGTATTTGCCCGGCGACTTTACTTTCGATTTCAATTTCATTTTCGGATCCCAGATCGGCGGCCACTTCGATTTGTGGTAAAATATTTGCACAACTCGAGGGTCACTGCTGGGGATCATCGAAAAATCCGGCGGTGATAAAGGTACGGATCGGAATAAACAAGTAGTATGCGTAAGCGTGGATTCAGAGGGGGAGGAACTGGATAAAGTTCCCTCTAAATTAACTTAATTTCTTTTCAAAATCATAAAATTAATATTGTAATTAAAAAAGTTAATACCAAATATGCAATTCAAAAAAGACAACGATAGTCTTTATAATTTATTGATTAGTTTGATTGTTTTGTTATCAGGACAATAATTTTTTTGCAGTAATAAATTTTTTGTTGTGAACATTGACCAAATGTATAAAAAGTTATTAATAAATTAAGCATTAATACATCATAAATAGCTTCCTTTCTAAAAGCAGAAACATGACTAGATTACCGAGCTAACTAACCGTTTATTGAAAACTTCAACAGGACTGCACTGGCCGAGTTTGACCCAAAAATCCATGCCAAAATGCAGCAGCAACTGCGGCAGCACGACAGCAACATCTAGTGCTGCTGCAACAGCAAACCGCAAGAGCGGCAGCCGCATTAATATTAATTAAATAAACGTTAATTCAGCGCATTAATGCGTAATAAATAATGCTCTTTTGAGCAGAAATTAATGCATAAAACGCTACTTATCGCCGCCGCCACGCACTTATCTGTGTCAACACAGAGCGCCACAAGAAGGCCAGGGGCGGGTGTTCGGCAGGGGAAAGGGGGGCGGAGCGGTCGAGTGGGGGAGTTGGGCAGGCAGAGGGGGCGGTTGAGGGGAGCTGCAGCAGCGGCCATCGCGCCTGACAAACGTATTGTCAATAGCCTATAGATCCGCCTGCACATTAAAAAATTTATGAGTTTAATTCTAGATGCCATTTTTTATGAAATATTAAAAAATTAAAACATAAAATGAAAATTATTTAGAAAATATTTTATAAATAATAATAATTACTTACAAGAGGTTTGATAAATAAATTTTATAATCAATCGAAACGTCCAACAAATAAAATAAAAATATGTTATCCTTAAAGGTAAATTTTTAGTAGATTAAAAATAAATTTTTTGGTTTGAGTGTAAAGAATAAATTATTTTAGATCTGATTATAATTTTATAAATTATAAATTAGACGAATAATTTTGACTTTTTTTAAGTTTTGTTTTAATAAATCTTTTAAATATGAATCATTGGCCAAAAAGTTTAGTAAAATGAGTGTTACATTATAAATGTAAGTCCAAAATTTTATATTTATTCAATGGCTTTAAAAGGCTTGTATTATTTCTACCTAGTGTCTCTAAAAGGCTACCCATATATTATTTTTTCGCAGTGCCCTTGGTTTGCCCACAGCGATGGAGTCGGATCGAAGTCGGAGTTGGAATCGACGATGTCGTTGGCGCGTTGCAATTACATGTCTGTGACAAGAATTTTAAATGAAAATCGCTGCGTTGTGTGCCGGACAAATGATTTAAACTTTCGCGTTACGTGTGGAAAATGTTTAAAACTGAGCCGGGGCCACGGACCGACTGCCGATCTCAATGGAGGCGCCATGCCAGGATTGGAGCTTTTTTTGTGCGCTTTGCATGCCCAATGGCAAGGAGCCCGAGTCGCTGGCGACGCATGAAATTAGAAAGGCATTATTGCAAATCTCTCGCTTTATTTATCAGCAATTTGTCAGCAAGTGTGCCGCGGCTCAGATTAAAGTGCCAGCCGAGCCAGTGCCGCCATCTGTCCGCCGATCCCGTCCAGACTTTCTAATGCAATTCATTTGACGCACGCACAAATCGCCGCAGGATTGGGCAGGTGGAGAAGGTCCGATCGGATCCCAATGGGGTCAAGTGCGTCCGCAAATGAATTCCATTATTGGTCACCGCAAATCTGAACGGTGTCAGTGTCAACCGAAAACAAAAAACAAACAGAAGGAAGCACAACGTCCCTTTTCTTTCATATAAATCATGTTGGGATTAATTATGAGGTCAAGAAATACTTGTCATTTAATACTTGGAGTATTAATAAAAAATAAAACAATTTTTGAGCAGAAAATTAGGTCTTTTTTGTGGTTTTTTATTTAAAGTAAAATGTTTCGGATTAAATGTGAATTAATAGATATTTTTATTACAGGTTAAACATGACATTTAACTCTTTACTTTACTTAAATAGGATCACACCTTCTTTGGGATTGGGATTTAGAACATAATGCAATAATCCTTATCGAATGCTTGGCACATTTGGTTATCTAATTATTTATTTGTGATTTTAAAAATACAAATGGTTGAATTTTATATTAGTGTAATATATTTTTGCCCTAGCTAAGCTTTAGAAAATCCATGAAATATTGGATTAGGAATGCCGATCTGCCTTTCAGAAGTCCTGTTTTTCTGGGTGTAGACCGGCCAGCATTAGATGAAGCTCCTCTGCCGGGGCCACATAACTCAGTGGAGCTCTCGAAGCGCCCTTCGCGCAGTTAACAAATAACATCAACTTATTAAATAAAGTTTCAATTCGGTTTCGGCGAGAGGAGACGCAGCTACCGTGCTGGGCTCGCCAAAGGAACATAGGACCCAAGGAGGTGGACCGAGGGACCCAGGGACCCAGGGATCGGCAATAAATCATCACATCGGAGGGGGACGAGGCACACTGGCCATGGGTAACAGACGGTAACTGCGGCCAAGTTATGTGGCTTCATTGTGGACAGAATGAGCGCTTTTAAGCAGACAATTGCAGCCTGGGGCGCAGCCACAACAGGTAGGAGAAACCTGCAGAGTGGGATGTTCGAAGGGGGTAGGGGGAAAGGGGCAGGGGCGATGGTCCTGAGAAGGGGGCAAAACACTCTCGCCCGGCGCACAGAGCCTCCCACATCCCCTTGCTATTGTGGCAACTCCGGTCCCCTCTCTCCCTTCTCACTACACATTTTCGTAGGCCGCACTGCGGGCATAAATCATTCGGGCTCCTCGAGCTTGGGCTGCTTCTGCTCCTCTACACTTAGAACAAATTTA